GATCCATTTACTACACGCGAAATACCGATAATATATACACATACGTGTCAATTAAAATTTATAATTTACACGTGTAAGTATTAACACATACGTACATTAAAAGGTTATATCTATTAAGAATTAAAAGGTAGATTTCACCAAACGTGAAATAGGATCTGTAACGTGTACCCTTGATTACGAAAGCTGATTCCCATTTCCGCAGCATTACATTAGGAAGTATGAAAGATCGAACATTCGCGTCAGACGTATAATAACGATTCGACGAAGCTCAATAAGGAAGAATCCTGAGATCCGAACGCGAAGCACTATCTCGACAGGAACGAACACCGACGGACTGTCACCTCGTTTCAGCAGCGTTGACGTTCACGTTTTTCTTAACATCTTGTGTTGCCAGTCACGTCATTCGAGTCTCCGGTTTACGAGCGTCCTGGTTAGAAGCCTTCCTTTTACGAACTTGACAGTCAGTACTCTGAATGCAGTTCAGCGAGAAGCTTCTTCTGCCGGTATTCCATCTTATTTGACGCAAAGCTAGTCATTCATCGATTTCTCCCCCTCGAAATATTCGCAAGCTATGAATAGGCGGTCTGCTGATTGGACGACAAGATGTCGAACAACGTGCAAGACGGGAGATCTCCAACGTCGGAAGATCATCAGGTTCTGGACACGCGTAGTCTGCCCATTAAACACGTGTAATGCTTCAACTACGTCTTCCAAGCCTCTGACAGAATCAATTCGCGGTTCGGTAATCCCTCTTGTCGCCACTGGCGACATTGATCATGTCCATAGGTGTCGTCGGATGATCGAGGTCTATGATCGGTCTGACGAGCGAATCGTTCCTCTTCGTCGATTACTTGCAAAAATAAATCAAGCATGTTGCGACGTGAGGTTAATGTCGTAACTTCGTCGTGTTCGTTCAATTCCTTCAAACTATTCTAGTGGTTAACAATTGTCCTCTGCAATGGTATATTAATTCTTGACTGATTCAGCGCATTTTTTTACTTTATTACTTGTCTATCGTGTGAAGTGTAGCCGTGCCATTGCAGAATCGCACAGATTCACTAGCTAGCATCTCATTCAACGATACGAATAAGAGTCGTGCTCACGTAAGTATGCACGTTCTATCAATATTAATCTCATTCGATAAGAATTCCAAAGTTACGTTTTCTTCACTTATAGAGAATATAATCCATCGTCTCCGAATAAATTGTATTTCGACCAATTCGGTGTGTTTCTGTGTTTAGATCCAGAGTCGCGAAATCTCTCCAACTGTTCTCTAACTAATGTTTAACAAGTCTTCAGAGCGAACAATTCGAACAAAGAGCAATTTATGCTCAGCGGAGCTTAACCATAACGGTTTAACCCCGCGACGCGGAGTGGAATTCAGCCTCCACGCTCAAATCAGCGCGTGACTCGTTAAGTCAGAGTGTGACGCGTAAACAGCGCAGAAGGTGAGAAGAAGCAAGTGGCATAAGCGCGAAGAATAGAACTTCATTAGCGGCGACAATGATAAAATCACCCTATTGTTTGCCAGCTGCGTGAATCCAACGGCTATCTAGGCTGCATCTTTTACATGGATTGTGGTGCGCGGCGTAACCAGAGCGGAATGTTAAAAGCTTACAGCGACGGCTCTTTCCCTGTCACTAAATTTCACAGCGATTCTGTATGCACCGGCCTGTTTGTAAACAGCCCGTGCATCGCCGCTGCATTATTAAACGGCAGTTGGATCGGAAATTGTTTCACCGCAGCGCGCCTTGTCGCACGAACCGTCGTCGCTTGGCCATCTTGCTCAACTTGCGGGATTAGGTGTGTGCGTTACCTCATCGTTCACATTTCGAGGGAATAAACAGTGATTACCGCCTTTGTTTCTCGCCCCGAAACGATGTTAAACACGACGTTATCCACGTGAACGCTGCTTTAATTGAGAAAATTTCAATAGCGAATTCTTAACAATATAATAATCAGGATGGTTTGATTTACAAAATGTTACTCTTTTATTTCTATTAAGCGTGGAAATGAATCCGGTGCCTTTTTAGATAATTTTATCATTCATTTGTCGTTTGGATCACTTCTTGAGAGGCACAGTTGTTCAAGTTCTTCGAATCTTCAATCTTCATTTTTTATTGAGAAGAAATATATATATATATATATATTGTTTCTTGTAAACATTCCGTACATCTGTAATTCAGAATCCATACACTCTCCATTGCTCATATTATATCACGTTCCCTTCACGTTAATAGTTTCAGTGAAAATTCACAGATCTCGCGAAAGCGTATCAGATAATTCGACGGTATCTCGTAATATCTCGTCCCAGAATAACAGATCCTTAAGAATTTGTCGATCATAATGTAGATATTAATGCATCGAATGAGAGATAAGAATAAATACCAATGAACAACCGTTCTGATCCCTCAGTCAAGAAATTCGAAACCATCAAGTTCTTAATTAAGATACCATTGAAAAGACAACCACGCCATTAAAGAATGCAAATGAAGAGCCTGTACAAATTAAACTCAGATTCTCCAATCGAGGACTACTCGTTCGCTGTACAGATCACCCTAATTATTAAAGTACACTTTTCGACGATAATTGACCATTGAAAAAAAAGAAAAGAAAAAGAAAATCACTTGGCGTGCGTTCGAAGAGCAGATACAACGGAGCACGAATTATTTTTTGATTGATGAACATAGGCGGCAGCGACAGGGTCGCGACAGTTTCGTATTCTGGACAGCTGCCCCGACAGTAGATAGTCATGCTCGCGCGCAGACTTGCAGAGCAGCGTGTTCTGGTTTCCCATTCCGGCTTACATTTACGTTTGTACGATGTTTCATTGTCGAAACGCGAACGTGCAGCCCGCGGTACACGAAAGAGATGAAAACGGTTTGACCCGGATCTCGTAGGGAGGGGTTGCACCGAGGAACGTCCGATGTACGCGCGTCTATAGTCGCTTTGCAATGCTTTCTTTCTTTCGACTGTGCCGTTGCTAACCCTTTGCATTCTCTCAACTACGTCGTTCTTTTTTCTTTCTTTTTCTATCTTTTTTTTTTTTTTTTTTTTTTTTTTTGACCACTGTTCGTCGAATCGTCGCGTTTCGTCTTTCAGATTAGCGCCAAGTTACGCTGTCTTGCTCGTCAGAATGAAATGAAATTGCCGCCGACGTTTGATTCGTTTGAACGGCAATGCACGATAGTTTGCCGGACGGTTGATCACGAAATATGTGCCGCGGTGGTGTTGGCTTGCAAACTAGTTGTTCAGCAATTAACCAAATGTCAGGGCTATTTTGCAGTGTGTTCGATGGCTGAGCAATTTCGAACAGCGAATGCTACGTAATTTGCAAAGTCAGGCGCGTTGATATTTCGACGGAAGATATTAACACGGAATCGATAGAAGATGTTGTTAACAGTCGTGACGAATACGTTATCAGCAATGTATCTTTATCTCAGAAACGATCTTTTTGTTTCTTGATCGTTTGCTTAGACTGGCTGTTCAGTTTCTTCTTAATTAACTTTTTGAATGAAGGTCGAAGTGAGATTTGTCGTTCAATGAATTGGTAAGACGGAAGCCAGAAGTTTGAGCTGCTACTATGTAATTAAAGATAGTATTTAAAAGTGAGTAAGCTTACAGATAATAAACTTCCATGCCATTGACTGACATCAACATGGTTACTCAGTTGAATGACAATAAAGTCATTCTATTCATAAAATGGAATGAGCTTCTTAAAGCTATGCATAAAAATAAATAAATATATAAATGATTACTCTATAAGTACAGCCAATAATACACGAAAATAATGACGAATCCAGTGTCTCAAACATGTGGTGGAAAAATCTTGTATATCTTCGCGTATTATGTGCATTCTATGAATTTTTGTACTTTCAAATATTTCATAAATGCATAAAAATTCGCAGTCTGGTGATAACTCGTTCTTTCAGATTATTCGAATGACGATCGTAAAATTTTTCCAATAATAATAACTTTCAAACAAATAATTCTTACTTTCGTTTTAAATTTCGTTTCGTTCATACAGATACGTCCGGTCACGTGCTCGTACGAGTAACGTTTGAAAAAAAAAAGTTAATTATAAAGATCAATGTGAAAAGAATTGCACGATGTAGCGAAAAATTATTAATATATTGAACATTTTCCTTCACGTAGACATAATATAATTAAATAAACATATATTCCTACTCGAATAACATCATCTGAATACATTATACAAATTATTCGATTAGATTTTCGTACTCATTCGATTGGACATTTATTCAACAATAGCGAAGAAAATCAGGGTTGTTCCCTATATTTTATTCCTCATTCGTCATCCGAATAAAATTTTGCCCGACACGCCGATTTTCGCTGACAATACTTTCTTCCGCCGTTGATGAACTTGTCCCCTCAGGATGACGCATTTTTACCAGCCTCAGCTCCGCCTCAGCTCCTTTCTCGCTTGATTCTCCAAGTCACAGACGCGTAAACACGTGTACACGCGTATCGCGCAGGAAAATGTCGCGTTCCTGACGCTTTCGTCGTTCAATTTCCGGCGCGGGAAAGGGTGCAAGAAGAACCGGGGTGCAGAAGGTTAGGTTTGCGAGTGAGTTTAAGACGCGGCGGGAAAGTAAAATTTCCTACTTCGCGGGGTAAACGTAGTGATGTATTATTATTGAAACCGTTCCTTTTCCTGCTCGTTGCACGTGGCGTAAGAGAAATAACATAACGCGCGGGAAGCTCGAGAGGGAAAATGCGCGCAAAGAAGACTGTTGTCGTCAGCACGCAACCTTCCGCCCAAAAATGAAACAGCAAATTGCGAATCCGCTTACAGCGCTCACGCTGTCCCCTCCAAGCAGTAGCTGAGATAATTGATAAATTCTTCGGTGAGTGTAACGGCCGCGGCTATTCAAGTGACGAGGGAAGACTCTTTACGAGTGCGTGTTTTTAAGGGAACGAAAGGTGATTCCTTTCGTTCGTTTGGAATAAAAATAAGGGAACGTAGGATTCGCGGAGAACTAATTTGCCAGAGCTGCCGGCCGTATCTCTTTCAAACGAGATTTCGCTTCTTGAAGAAGCGGAATCGGTGAAAAGCCGACCCGAGAATGAGGTAGCAAAGTTGCGCTCGACACGCGCCTAGCCTGCCTGAAATCTAGTTTCGTGTGTCTTTATCATGTTTACTGATACCGCGCAAGATGCGGATGGAAAGAACGAGGTCAGAAAGTTACAACGGGGGAGACTACATCGAGCTACTTGTGTATTCAACATCGACAAGTATGCTTAATATTAAAACGCCACGTTCGTTCGCGATAGTTTCGCATATAAAGTGGATTTCCACGGTTTCCGTCTCATTTATAATTTCCCTCCCTCTCGTTAACTTGGAGCTGTGCGTGTATCTTTCTGTTCCAGCCGGCGGGTATCGATCTTCGTTAGAAAAAAATAGAAAAAGAAGAAAAAAGGTGAAAGAAAGTAGAGTGAAATTCTCTTTTTCACAGTCGTTAATGTTCTTTGTGAATGTGTTAAACGTCACCGAACTGACCGAGTTTTTCATTTTATTTGCCAACTGTCGCACTATTTCCAACTTAAATTCGAATTTAAATTGGAATATTATCGCGCTTATATTTCTAATTTCGAAGTCAAATCCTGCTTCGAATCGACTGCAACAATTTTTCATGGAATTCCGGCCAACCATGACAATTTCCAAGATTCTGTCAAACATCACTCAAAGACAAAATGACCTCACTCACGCAATTATGCAATTAAGTATTCCTTATTTCGCTTTACACTAATACGAAACACGCTTCAATTCAAATATTCAGAAAATGATTATTTAAACACATTTGATTTGTTTTATTTGTATCAGATTGTTAGAACAAGCAAGTAGTTTTTTGCCAAATTATTTCATTACTTGATTACCAAAAAAAAAAATAATCTTTTGATTGAAATTATATTTTAGATCAATTTCTCATTTTATTGTGTGAATATTGTCAACTGTGTGAGAGACGCAAAATTTGTTAAAATGTCTAGTATAACATGCTCAGATATAGAATAAAAGACAAAGATAAAGGACGTTTATCTTCGGGATAGTTACTCTGCGTTTTCATTAATTAACTAGTTTATCGTTTACTTTATTTAATACATTACATATAAATTCTCGTTCAAATCCTACATAAACCATTGTTGTACTTTAATTAACCATCATAAACGCAAACGATCTATTAGATCGAAACACAGGATAAAGTCACGTTTTCTACGCTACGTTTGAAATAAAAATAGAAATTAATTTATTACTTCAAATTGTTATTTTTCGCTTTAAATGATATTGCCTAATCCTGTGTGAAAATCCAATTCAAACTGTAAAGTCCAATGATAAAGTTCTTAAATGTACCTGTACATTTCAAAATAATCGACGAATTCTTCCTCGTATGAAATTTTTAAATATAATATTTGTCTTAAGACTTTAGAACCAGATATCTCATATATATATAT